TGATTCCAACCGTGAGAGTCCATCTCACTAGAACTGATGGATCATATTTAGCTAGTGTTAGACACAAATCAAGCCTTACCTCATAGGATGAAGCACAGTTAAGAAGACGAAAATAGAAACAATGGTGATAAATAGTGTTGCCAACAAGAATTCCAGGACGTGTGCTGAGTTAATCAAGAAACACCAAGTGCTGGCCTATTTTCTTCTCGTCAGAAATGCCATTAAGTGTAACGGACCTACGCGAACAGTTCATCTCTCCATCTTGTTTGCTTATGGAAACAATGACGAGCTGAACGAGACGATCCACAGGCATGTCCAGCTCTTACAGTCCAAGGCTCTGACAGCAAATCTCACCTGAGGCTCATCATTTTTGCCTTTCATCCCCATGGCAGTCTTCTCCCCTTCACTGTAGGTGCATCCAATCCACGCGTGAACGGTCTCCTTTATGCCTATGCTTGTGGGGTACGCTCCTGGCAGCTATGCAGCTGCAATGTGATCCTGCCCCTCAGCCACTGTTGACTGGTTTGGGAAAGTGCTGCTCACCTCAGTTGGGCCAATTCCGGATCCTTCGCTGGGAATCAAGACTTGACTGAAGACAGATGAGGCTCAGTCACAGCTGAGCTCTTAAGAAGAACCAAGGGCTGTGGCATCACGACCCAGCCGTTCATTCAGTGCATACTTCCTGGGCACCTGCCCTGTGCTGGCTGGTGTGCTTTGCACCTTCTGCAGGCCAGAGTGAGTCCCAAAGAACTGTCTGGTTTCCTGATGGCTTTTCTAGTTCTCAGTCCCCATCCATCCTGAGGCCCACCACACTACTGCCCTGAGTTCCCCGAGATCCTCCTCGGTCTTCACCATAAATGATTCACAAGAAATGATTAAGTCGTGCACTTTGTTGGCATTGTCACTGAAAGAGTTTCAGTTCCGATCTCCTCTCACAACCAGCTTTGCAGGGCCTGTTGAGCAGCTACTCCATCTCCCCTGTGGACCCAAGGTGAGGGAGCTCCCATATCAATTCAGAGAAGGGCCCAGAGGCAAGCACTGGGTCTTCTCTGAGTCTTTTTCACAAATCTTTTAATTTTTTCCAATTAAGCATGGCCACATAGGAAATGGAACAACAGCAACAAAAACCTTCTTAAGAAACATACATAAGGGGCGACTGGGTGGCTCAGTTGGTTAAGAGTCTGCCTTCGGCTTGGGTCATGATCCCAGGGTTCTGGAATCGAGCCCCGCATTGGGCTCCGTGCTCAGCAGGGAACCTGTTTCTCCCTCTGCCTGCCTGCCTGCCCACTTGTGATCTCTCTCTCTGTTTTAAATAAATAAATAAAATCTTTAAAAAATACATAAAAGGAGGTAAAAGGGCCTCACGCAATTTCATTAGATAAAACCCACCCCCTCCTCATGCCAATTCCAGCAGAGAAAACATCTTGACAAATCATGTCCTTTAGTCAAAACAAGTTGGGGGCCAAACACATGGAGTAGATATAAAGTATGTTATTTTCAGGAGACCGAAATCCAAACCACAAATTCCAGAAATGCATTTTAAAAGTGCTGCCTATTAGACACGCTAGTTTTAAATTAAATTAACGTTGAAGCGAGGGGGGTAAGGTATGTTTCGATTTATTTATTAGATCACTATCAAGCTTTCCTGTAAGGAGATCAAGGTGCTCCATGCACAAGCATCTTGGAGAAATGCTTGGTTGTTTGAAGAATGTCAGGTTCTGCCAAAGCTGTTTCTCCCCAGTTTGATAGCCCCCCCTCCCAAGGCATTGTTTTTTGAAGCCCACAGCTTTATGTGGCTAACCACAAGTCTATCCTCTGCTTGAGGAGGGCACGTAGCGGACTTGACACACTGTCTCAGAACCATTCCAAGAATGGTCTTGTGGGCACACTGGCTCTTCTCCCCAGCTTGTCTGCTTCACCTTCCAGGGCCTGACACAGTGAACCCGGGAGAGGAAAGTCCTGTAGTGTCTTATCACACAGGAAGATTTTGGTTTTGTTTGTTTGTTTGTTTTTGAGATTATATTATTTAAAAAAATTATGGCAAACAGGCAGATCTTTCATTATCAAAGCTTTTCTGGGAGCACTTTTTTTGAATCCGGGTCAAGAGCACGGGAGGATTTTCTGTCCTCCAGACTGGAAGGAAAACTCTTAGAATTTGTCACACGCTGCCGGTCAGGCTGGACAGCCAAGTGCATATTCAGGCCAAGTGCAGATTGTGTTTTCCAAAAGTGGCCACGACAATAACTTCTGCTCCCTTTCCAAGAAGAGAGTAAGTTCCCTCTCCTCCAACCCAGGTGGGTATGGGTGTCTGCCTGGACAAACAGAGCACTGTGGAGGGGATGCTACATGACTTCTGGGGTTTCCATCTGGCTCTCTCTTAGGACGCTTGCCCTTGAACACAGCCACCATGCTGTGAGGAAGCTCAGGGCGATGGCAAGAACTGCGTCCCTTAGCTCATGGGCCAGGCTGGACTACCAGCTGATGGGCAGCATCAGCCTGCTGACATGGGTGCCACCTTGATGGTGAGTTGCTCCCTGTTGAGCTCTGCCCAGAGTACAGGTTCATGAACAAAATCAGTGATCAACGGTATGTTAAGTCAGTGTTTTGGGATGGCTTCTTACGCAGCAAGAGATAACCAGAACAGATGGGGATGGAAGACTTCTCTGGACAGCCTTTATAGAGGAAAGCACATGAAAGCAATGCGGGAAGGAGATGGTAACAAGTGGCAGTAGGATGCACATAAAGTTCCGACTTTAGTAAGGGCAAACTCCAGTGGCCTTGACTTCCCTCTCACAGAGCTTTGGTTTGATGCAGAGACTCTTAGACATGCATCTTGCATCCTCTTCTCTCCACAGGCCTTAAAGCAGAATGGAAGATACTCTCTCCTGATGGCTTCCCTCCGTCTCAAAGACATAGCTCTTTGTGAAATCGTAGTTATTCCTCAAAGCCCTACTGACTGTTCTTCTCTACATTTATCCCATTTATTTTGTTCAAGTCCTGAACACATGAGCCAGAGGTAATGTTCCTTTTCACGTTCTATGGTGTGGTGGGAAGAGTCAGCATGGAAGCCCAGGTAGAAACAGAACAAAACGCCTCTCCGTTGGGGTGGTGGCATGGGGAGGGCTTTGTGGCCAGTCCACTGAGACTCTGCCCACCCCCTGCAGACAGATGACACCCCCTGGCAACTGAGAGCAGATGCCTGGCAGCTGGGGGCTGAGGAATGGATTCTGATAGCTGCTGGGAAAACACAAATTCTCCCTTTTTCTGAAGTGCATTACTTGGAAACCTCTCTTTGAGATCAGTCTCAAGGGGCCAGAGTATTTCTTCATGAGTCCTAACCCCAGGGATACGAAGGCAGAGAAACACAGCAGCCTAGGATGGCTCCACACCCGTTTTTCCTAGGCAGAATCCTCCTCAGGACAGTGACGCTTCTGATCAGTGAAAGAGCTGCAGCAGACACTCTGCAGAGCGTAAAAGGGTAATGATGTGTCGCGGTTCATGAACCAGTAAAGGAAAGCGCAAGCCGCTCGTCTCCCACAAGGGAGGCTCCATATTGGCCTGACGCTTGCATAGTCCATCAGCATACTAAAGGCACCGTGCCCTCGGAAGCAATTTAATTTGTTGTTTTATCCAGTGTTTCCCAAACATATTTGGTCACAGGATCCTTTTGCTATGGGGACATCATGGGACATCGCCGGGCAAGAGCGAGGCAGAGAGCAGAGAGCAGGCAGGTTGGAGCCCTCACCGTGCCCCCGGCCAACGTCGGACGCGGCCGCCTGACTGGGGAAGCGTCCAGGGCCTGTCGAGCCGGCCTCACGGACCAGGGCCTGGAAGTCCAACCTTGTTACTTTAGCCTCTCCTCAGGGCGAAGTCCAAGCTCGTGAAGGAAGGAAGGGGATGCTCACGTGGAGAAGGTTTTGGAGACCACGTCTCGTCTGGAAGTTTCTAGGCAAAGTAGTCATCGTGAAGGGCTACTGGACAACCTTGGGATTACGTGCAACTGAGGAGCCCCCACACGCTTTTAAGAAGCTGATCTGTAATACATTATTTATAAAAAAAATAATAATAATAAAGAGGGGGAAAATCCAGGAGCCACACGGAATAACAGACAGTGCTAAGTGGAGGCAGCAGGAAGGAGACCCGGGCCGCCCCTGCAGCCCGTTTACTGCTCTGTCTCGAGTCTGACTGTCTGGCTTCTGTCCTCTGGCTGTGCGCATGGACCAGTTTTCCTGGCATATGCATTTACTGAACTCTGAAAGGCCAGATCTGCTATGTAGATTAATTCATGATTTCAAAGACGCTTTGAAGCAGGCAAAACATTCTGTTATTTCCAAGAGTTATTACAACTGAAGTCCTGGCATAGACTGGGAGGCCAGTCTGTAATCTTGTTTAGATTCTTTTAAATTCAGACACGTTGTAGTGAGTTAAAAATAGATCTCATTTGTGTACTTTTCCTCCTTTCATCCCCATGGCAAAGGCTGTTCAGTCATTTTGACCTCTCCTTGATATTAGCCAGAGAAAGTCTAGCACTTGGCCCCTGGGATGGGAGTCCACTAGGCTAAAACAAAAGCCATTTTCGAATGGATTTGGGGGTGATGCGAGTCATGTGACTGAGCAGAGTTATTCATTATTCTACATGAGTTCTAGAATTAAGAGCAAGAGACCATCATTAAGACCTACGAATAGTATATGGATTAAATGAAAATGTGGGCCAAGGAGGAGAAAAGTTTTCATTCACACTATCCTAGGGGGCTTGTATCCTCACATATCAATTGAAAAAAGACCATAGCGCTTAGGTCAAAAGAAGCTGGAATATCAGAAGGCTGGAAGGTCGGGCTGCTTATAACCGAAGTTAAATAAAGATTGCACCTGATTTCAGAAGAGCCAAAATACTGGATGTTATCTTATATGGTCCTCCCCAGGGTGAATGGGGTGTCAGCATTTTCATGCCCAGCACAGACATCGGTACAATCAGGATTACCTCTTCATGGTTACTTTACCTTCATAAACATGCTGAATCCAGTTTTAAGGAGATCGGTGAGGCCTGAAGACATGTGTTCAATATCCACTGGATCTGGCCTCTCAGGATTAAATATTTCTTCCACAACCTGCTTCAACAATGGCCTATAGGATGCCTGGAAAGACAAAATATTGTGCTGTAGGTTAAAGGGTTTGTTTGGTTTGTCTGGAGAGACGATAGCTTTATCTGCACCAAAAGAAGCAAAACAAGTTTATTTTGACACTGAGCAATAGCTCTGATTTTGTGTGTATGAAAAGGCAACTATAACAACATTGGTTTTTGGGGTAAATTTCACCCTAATACCCTAATGCTATTTTTTGTTCTTATCCCCTTCTACCAGCAAATATCTCTTACTGGAGCTGTAATCCTAGTAGGACTACTTTTTAAAATCTGGGTTTAAAGTGACAATTTTTTGTATATGAAGAATACTGGAAAGCAAAGTATTGTCATTTGCGACAGACATGAAGATGCTCTCCAGTTTTCCTGAACGTTCTTAGAATTATGCTTCCCTCTACTAGGAACTGGAATGTTTTCATACGATGTACTGTCACGATCCAAGCCTAAAGCAATCCCTTCTTCCTCTATAGAGCTCAACTCCAAGTAGGACTTGGCCAGAAAACAAAGCAAAGATGCCAAACAGGAATCTGACCAAGGTCAGGGCTTAGAAAAAGCAGGCCACATGGTACCATAAGAATTCCAGGAGAATGAAGTTGATGTCGATTTGTTACAGCTCCCACAGTGTGATAAACGATGCATCTATGCATGTTCAGATAATATGTGGAGGCAGCTTTTTCTGACCAGTGTACTTTCTGGCATGTCCCCACTCCTCTTGCCTTGTTCTCCTTCCTACCAAGCTCTTCCTCGTCCTCTGCTCTTCCCTCCCCACAAGCTGACCACCTTCCTCCCAGGTCTCTGGCTGTCTCCGCTCTCCAGTCCCACAGGGCACCTGAGTTTGGAGCATGAATGCCGAGAGAAGAAGGAATGTCTCCTCTCCACACACTCTGGTGATTATTACAGCCTCGGAAAAGCCAGGTTCCAACAGAGTCCTGCCCAGATGTTTTGAACTCTTTGGCTCTTGTCACTGGCCAAATCTGTGACCTGCCTGCTATTTCAATAACCTGTTGAGGCTATTGGGTGAACTGACTTCATGTCTGCCTTCATCTTGCATTCCTTACAGTCATTTTTTTAGTCTTTACTCCAACTTTCTTACTTAAAATATTTTAGAAATAAAGCAGGGTATAAACCATCAAAATAATAAACACTTATTTAGGGGCACCTGGCTGTCTCAGTCGGTAGAGCATGTGGCTCTTAATCTTGGGGTTGTAGGTTCGAGACCCATGTTGCGTGTAGAGATCGCTTAAAAATAAAATCTTAGAAAAACACAATTATTTAGCTAGAATGTCACGTGCATTTATCAGGGATAAAATGCAGGGAGAAAGAGCAACTGTTCAGCTGAGGGGTGCAGCCTTCGTGTTTATTAGTCCAACCAACTACTGCATACCCAGAGATCTCACAGGTAAACACGCATGGAAGGTAGAGCACTGAGCAGCAATACCATTAAGACAGAAATTAAAACAAAACAAAAACAAAAACAAAAAACAAAGCAAACACTATGATTCAACCTTCCCCATTCTAAAGCTATATTAAGACAGATTTTAAAAATTTATCATACAGGCAAAAATGGAGAGGTCTGAAAACATGCACTTTTGATGAGGCCGTGGGGAAACAGACACTCTTATATATTGCTGGTGGGCGTGCAAATTGTTGCAATCAGCGTGGAGAGCAATTGGGCAGCACCTATCACAATTACAAGTGCGTTTGACCTGGCGATTCCGCCTCTAGGAATTTATCCTATAAATATGTTAACATATGCAAATGAGACCTATAAAAGGCTGCTTATTGTTTGAAATAGCAGAAGACTGGAAAAAACTCAAGTGCCCATCAGAAGGAGCAGATTAATAAATGGGATACAGCCACAGGAAGAAATGGCACAGAAGCCAATAGAGAAGCTCTTGTGTTGATCTGGCAAAAAGCAGGATAAAGTGTGGGTGGAAACAGCAAGGTGAGGAACAGTGTGTGTGCTGGGCTGGCATTTATGTAAAATGTGTCACCGGGGATTTGGAAGTTTGTATCTGCTGAAATGTACAAAAGATCCCATTGTGATGGGATTTACAGAGGCTGCCAAGAGCAGAGATCCTGGAGTGGAGAGCAGGACAAGGGACAAGGGTGGGGGAAGACTTTTCAATAGATCGCTTTTCCAAAAACAGTTAAAATACCACTACAAACAGCAAGAATGTTCTGTTTTTTTTTTTTTATTTTTACTTGTTAAAAATTAACAAATTATTTATGCACAGAAGAGACTGAAATAAAACACACCAGAATGTTAATTAGGGCTATCTCTAGATTCTGGGAGTAAGGGACATTATTTTTTTCTTTTTCCAAATGTTCTAAAGTTCACAGGTATACTTCTGGAATCTTAATATAATCCAATAAATATTTTCAATGTTAAAGAAAAATGAGGTCGTGGAATGGTCTCTGAATTTTGCACATCATCTCTCTGAGTAAACTGTCTCGAGAGCCCTTCTGTCACCTCAGCCTTTCTGGACATTGACTCTCAACTTAAACTTTAATCTCTTTAAACTCTTCCGCAAACAGAAATCCTTTGACCAATATTCTGCTAACTTATCAGCATTTCATCAGTATTCATCAGCTTCTTCCTTAGTAATAGTATCTAGTTTTTAGCAGGCACATTATCCACTGGCTAAAAGATTTGATTCTCCAGTCTCCCTTGCAGCCGGGCACAGCTGCGTAACTAAGTTCTGGACAATGAGATGGAAGCAGGAGGGTAGTGGGACTTGCAAATGCTCCTTTTTCAAAAGGGAAGGGGCTGCTCTTTCCCTTTCTCTGTTCTGCTGCTTGGAACATGAAAGTGGTGCCCAAAGCGCCGCAGCCGCGGTGGAAAACAGGGCTATTCCTTAGAGATGCTGGAGCTGAGAGCTGGAAGCAATGTTGGCCAGTGATGGCTGGTGGGGCTGCCAGAACCCTAACCCGGACAGACTAAAGCCACCTACTTGACATGCCAATACAAACCCTCCTACGTTTAAACCTTTAGCTCTCGGATCTTTGTGACTTGCAACTGAATGAAATTCTAACTGATACGAAGTGCAAAGGGAAGATAAAGAAATTGGAGTGCTGCGTGGCTCAGCCGGTTGAGCATCTAACTCTCCATCTCAGCTCAGGTCTTGATCTCAGGGTTGTCGTGAGTTCACGCCCTGTGTTGGGCTCCATGTTGGCCATGGAGCTATGTTAAGTAAGTAAGTAAGTAAGTAAGTAAGTAAGTAAGTAAATAAATAAATAAATAAATAAATAAAGGACCATGCCTTCCTTCCAGGAGCTTACATTTATTTATTTTATTAGCCTATATGCAGTTATATAGAATAACTTGAAGCAGAACCCTAGAGAAATACACTTAGGCTGTCATGGTTAAGAGAGGGGAGAGTATGCCCCCAACCTACAAAAAACACAAGCCTGTTGCTCTCTGAAGAATGCACTTCCTGCAAGGAGGGAGAGTGGTGATGGTAAAAGGAGCTCAGACACAGGAAAAGTCTGTCATCCAGTTAAAATGCTAGACTAAGTACCTCCTCTGTGCAGGGAGCCGTGGGCCGGGGGTGATGGTTCTCTCCAGTGCAGTCCGGGGGCCCAGGGGAAAGAAGGAAGTGTGGAGGGACTGGGGATCTTGTCCTCTCCCCTGCTCCACTTTCAGCTAAGCTCTGGGCAACAAAGTACCCAGGACAAAATACCCACTGAGCTGGGGTTCCCCTTGGGGGTGAGCAAGATTTGGAAGGGCTAGTCCCTTAATAGGTTCATTCTTGGGATTTTGTGATCCTTGTATACCATTGGGGAAGGTTGTAAATCTTTTTTATTTTATTTTTTTAAGTATGTAGGTAACATTTATTTAGAGTGGGGAAAGAAATTACAACTTCAATTCAGAAAGTAACAGAGAACAAACACATCACGTAATCCAGAATAATAACATATGCTTTCATTAATTAACTGCCCGACGTAGCTCCATGATACTCATTTCTTAGGTTTCTTGGCTGCATTCTCTCTGATTATCTTTTCGTTTGACAGCAATTTAGAAAGTCATTTTCTATAGAGATGTGATAGTGATTAAGCTGTTGTCTCTCAACTCCAAGCCCTGTCTTCTGTACTTAGTTCTGCGACGCTTGCCTGCCGCTCTGCAAACCACATTTGTGCTCTGCCATCTAGACCTGGCAGATTCTGCCAACAGGGGGCACTAGAGGGCTAGTGGAGGCAGGAAGCGCAAGCGAGACCGTGCTCTTCCCTGTTTATTTGCTGTTCCCACCAGCATCACCCCAGCAATGGCTCCTCACTACTGGATGCCGTGCCCTCTCTCGACTTCTAAGTCATAGGATCCAATAAATTACCTTCCTTGCTTAAGCCAGTTTGAGCTTTTTTCTTTTATTTTCTGTTTTTACTTGTAATCGGAAGCACACTAAACTACATATTTTACTGAAGAGACATCGATAGGTTTTCCCACTTAAATATATAGAAGAAGACCTCTAATTCTTTACTAAAACAGCGAAGCACAGAACGGCGAAATAACATTGTCCATTTAAAGAGCACAATTTGGGAAAGACTTTCTCAGGCATAAAAGCAGCACTGTGGCCTCATGACTTCTTCGAAAACACATTTCTTACTTTTTCCAATTACGGTTTTTAATGATGAGACCCTTTGGCTCCTTCCTCTCAGCCACTTAGGTTGCATTGCTTTGTGTCCCAAATCATGTCACTGAAATCTGATTGGAATGCCCGGCTTCAGCAATAGCTTCTTAGATGAGAAAACTCTGACTGTCATGGAATTTTCTATTTAGCCAGAAGCCACCCACTTCTCAGCAAAGGACCACATAGACGGTGGTGATAGGGGAGGCAGATGTCTTCCCCTAAGGCTCTGCTCAAAGTTCTCCTCATTTGTCAGGGAGGGCTGGAGGGGAGATCAGTTGTGTGGTTTGCTCCAACATTAAGAGAGTTGGGCAGAGTAATTTAATTTTCCTATTCAAACATTTTCTGTCAGTTCACCTTTGGGGGGTGGGGG